GTGTGTGTGTGTGTGTGTGAGAGAGAGAGAGAGAGATAAAATAACTATTTTGACAGTGTGCGCAAAGCATAGCGGTGCAACAACCATCACTATTATTCAATTGTTATGGTGATAATCAATTAAGGAGCCTTTAAAATGAGAATTTCTGTTAAAGTCGATTCTTTTACTTTATTGTCTCTCAAATAATTCTTTCTAATAATAGTTGAGTATTTTTCAGCTTGAGAGATTTTGGGTTTCTATATTGTTGTGGATTTTGGGTTCTTGAGTTTGGAAATTTGTATTATCTTTCATCCCTTTTATTTGCATATGTGCACAACTTCTCTATAATGGATTCAATCTTCTCTTCTCCTTCATGGATATAAGATTTCTTTTAGTCAAATCATACAAATCTTGGTGTCTAATGACATTACAATTTGCTGCTTAGTCTCATTGCTGTTCCTTTGTTTGTTCAACAAATTCACTTTTGGCCAGTGCTTCTAGATAAAGTTGAATGTTCTCCTAGAAAATGAAAAATATTTGATAAATTATTCAAATGGATATACAGCAAATGATCACACTAGACAGAGAACAAAGAGAAGAGCGAGTAATAAGATGTTCTGTATAGTTAAAAGCTACAAATTTAGGTAGCGACATTGTGCTCCTTGGTATATCTCTAGCTTTTTATGAATATCATTGCTATCACAATAAAAATAAGCATATTACGGTAATGAAAGTGATGAATGTAGTATAAAATTGCAAAAGGAAATAACCAAAAAAATTAACATACATAAAAGTTTAAGCGATTCCTTCCCATCCATCTGTACTTCTCGGACTCAATGTCAACATCAGCTATCAGACCTGCAGAAACTTTAACGTTATAACAGGCAACAGGATTGAAAATCACTGAAATCTTGCAGGAGAAAATTTTTTCAAGATGTATTTATCCAAAGTATTTCTTAACATACCCCAAGTGAGCATTAAGATGCTAAAAAACTTAGTCCTGTTTTGCATTATGGTGGTAACATCCAGTGATCTTTTATGGCCTGCAACATTGAAGAGTGGAAATAAATAAAACGGCGTTTAGAGGTAATAAGTACCAAAACATGGGATTAAGTTATATGTCACCTCTTATAATTGCAAATGTAGCATGCTGTATTGAATACATTTCACCTACTGCATCCGATAGTGATTTGGCCAACCCGTTTCCTGTGCCTGCAATTGTATTCATCAAGGATTATCAGGAGCCTCGTTATTAACCTGTCATGAGTTCATCTTCTATAGAGAAGAACTAGCATGTTTGACGAAACCACAAAAGGAGCAAAAAAGAGAATTTATCCAGCAACTAAAATCTTGGCTTTCGGAAGGATCTTTGAAGAGGACGTTCCATCCCAGCCACATTTGCTGAGGATTATTTGTTTACGTCAACATATTTTGTTGACTTAATTCCCCACGTATGTTCCCTGAGCAGATTGTCCTCACATATAGTTTTTTCTCCTCTGATTTCCATGCAACCTTAATATTAGTAGGTGTGCATGGCATGATTCTATGTGAGCTTTTTGTCACTTAAAATTTCTTCGAACCTTCTTTCTCGTTTTTAAAATATTTATAGGTTGACTATCACCTCTTTCCATAAAAGCCAAGCTACTAAACTTACAGAATGTTGTATTTAATGGTTTTTATTTTAATTGATTTATTTCCTTTTTGGTTTATTTTCTTGTATGCTCTAGTCCTCCTCTATAAAAAGGGACATAGGGCTTACGAGAGACTAAGATATGTATGATGTGGAAAAGTGTTGAGTTGTAAGCTCAAGCTGTTTTTTTACTTCTCCCCATCTCATGCTAGTAGAATCTCCCTTCCCGTGGATGTAGATGAATTAATTCAACGCCGAACCACGTAAATTTTTTGTGTTTTATTGTTATTGTGTGAAATTTCTATGTTTCCACATTGTTTTCACATAACAATTGATATCATAGTTTCTGGTTCGTGATTCGGGTTCACAGTTTAGAGTCACGATGGCAAATCCGGACTGTGTTGCCGGAAGTTTTGCAACAGGAGGTGGTTTAACGTGCAGATCAAAGGCAGATCGTTAGCTTGGACATAAAGTTCGAGCGATTGCAGGATTTCTCAGCAGCGGTGTCAACGGCAAGGATTTCGAGGAACATGCTCCGTCAGAGACATAAAGTACGAGCGATTGCAGGTTTTCTCAGCAGCGGTGTCAACGGCAAGGATTTCGAGGAACATGCTTCGTCAAATGGTTCTGCAGAGAAATTATGAAAGTTGTTCGAGAACAAAAATCTCATAAAGAGAATGAAGAATCGTCTTTATATGAAGCATCAACTCTAAAGATTTCATATGAGACAGTGGGTTTACTATTGATGAGCGCTTTAATGATTTCACAAAACTATTGGCAGATCTGTTAAATTTGGATGAAGAGGTTGGAAACGAAGACAAGACATTTGTTCTGTTGAATTCGCTTCCAAATGAGCATGAAGATTTCACACTGACACTCAATCATGGGAAAAATGTCTTGAATCATGGCGAAGTGACTACGACACTGTTGACTCACCAGTTCCATCGAAGGGACAAGAAGTCTGCAAAAATGTAATAAGCTGAGGCATTTTCACTCCAACGTGCCAGATCTGAGAAGAAGAAGAAGAATTGATCATAGAAAGGTGGTAGTGACGTCACTTAGTCTTATGGGCGTAATCTTAGAAAAAATCAGTGTGTTTTTTGCTTAGAGACTGGTCATGGGAAGAAAGATTGTCCGAAGTTGAAGAAGGAAGGAATGAAAGTTGCGTCTGAGGCATAAGCCAATGGCATTGTGGATTCAAATGTATCATTACCTGAAGTTTTTCACAATTTGTACACAGATGATTCGTGATGGATTCTGGACACAGGTGTTATTTAATCACATTTGTTCGATGGAGGATGGTTATGTGCGTACAAAATGCTTGATAGCGGTGTAGTGAGTATGGACAACGATCAAACTTGTCGTACTATTAGTGTGGAGAGTATCTTTATCAGGATGCATGATGATACGGTGAGAGAGCTGACTAATGTTAAACATGATCCAGATATCAGGAAAAATTTACATTCAGTTGGGGATTTAAAGTCTAAACACTATAAGGTAATTATTGAGGCAGGATTTTTGAGGATATACTGTGGAGCAATGATTTTTATGGAAGGAGTTCAGCATCACAGCCTTTACTATCTTCAAGGATCACAGTGATTAGAACGACTGCTATTATTGATAATTCTTCTGACGCCACTATGTCGTGGCATATTCAGCTAGCTCATGCTGCAGAGACTTCATTTCAGACTTTGGTGAATAAAGGATTGATCAAAGGAGCAAGCACTTGCAAACTTGATTTTTGTTAGCATTATTTGTTTGGCAAGAAGACACTAGCATCTTTTGGGACTATCATCCACAGTACAAACGATATTTTAGTGTGTACACACAAATGTTTGAGGCCCGACGAAAACATCATTTAGCAGACGAAAATATTGTCTCTTTTATTGATGATTACTCCAGGTATGTTTGAGTGTACACCATGAAACACAAAAGCAAAGTGCTGCAGATTGTCATAACTTGAAAAAAGTGAATTGAGACTCATACTGGTAAAACAATCCATTATTTCAGGTCAGACAATGGGAGCGAATATACTTTCGATGTATTCTTGCAGGAGTGTCAGAGAGTTGGGATAGAGCATTACTTCACTGTTCGAGAGACACCGCGGCAGACGGGGTGGCAGAGAGATGAATCATACATTGGTGGAGAAAGTTTGTTGTACATTATCTAATGTTGGGTTGGATAAAATCTATTGGACTGAGGTCATAGAATATGCTTGTCACTTGGTGAACCGTTTGTCTTCTGCAGCTATTGGGAAGAAGACCCCAAAGAATATGTGGTGAGAACATCTTGTTGAAGATTATGAACACATGAGAGTGTTTTGATGTCCAACTTACTACCATGTGCAAAATGATATACTGAAATCACGAGCAATGAGAGAGATCTTTATTGGCTTCAGACGTAGAGTCAAGGGCTTCAAGTTGTATGATCTATCAGAAAGGAAAATTATCATTACCAGGGATGATACATTCAACAAGACAAGCTTGTTGAAAATCGGATCTCAAAGAAGTTGGACAGTTCTGCTGGTAGCACGAATATGTAACAGAAGTTGGAGTATGATGCAAATTCATTTGTTCTACAGAGTTCATCCCCTCTGACTCTAATATCTGATTCAGTTGCAGCTCAGGAGGCATCTGTTGATAATACTCAGGAGGTGATGGAAGAATATGTTGAAGTCGAGATTCGTGCTCAGGAATATATTGTTAGGAGCATGAACAACCGCCAGAATGTCCCAAAACCAGCTTGGTTGAGGGATCACATGACATTTGTGCTTTCAGCCACAGAGGCAGAAATTTTTTGTCACTACAAAGAAGTGGCGGAGAGCCTATATTATGATCTTTGGAGGGATACAATAGATGAAGGGATGGAGTCTATTCAAAAGAATGGTACTTAGAGATTAGTGAAGCTTCATCCAGGAAGGAAAGCCAACGGGAGCAAATGGGTGTAGGTGTATGCAAAGAAGGAAGAACTCATAGAGCTGATGTGTGGTACAAGACAAAGATTAGTGGCAAAAAGCTTTGCATAAATAGAAAGGATTGATTATGAAGAAGTGTTCTCCCTAGTGGTCAAACATCCCTCAAACTGTGTTCTCTTAGTACTTGTAACACAGTCCAGTCTGATCTTAGAACAGCTCGATGTGAAGAATGCATTCCTACACAGAAAATTGCAATAAGAGATCTATATATTGCAGCCACCTGGATATGGAGAATCAAAAGATATGGTTTGCAAACTAGACAAGTTTTTATATGGGTTGAAGCAGTTACCACGACAGTGATATAAAAAAAATGATCAGTTCATGAGGAGGCATAAATACACAAGGAGCCATGATCATCGTGTCTATTTCAAGAAATTGGTCAAAGGTGAGTTCATTTACTTGCTTTTTTATATTGATGATATGTTGATTGTATTTGTCAGTCACATTGAGGTTGGTAGAATGAAGAATCAACTATCCAAACATTTCAAAATAAAGGAGTTGGGAGAAGATCGCAAAATTCTTACCATGGAAATTCTCAGGGACAGGTCAACTGGAAAGGTTTGGCTTTTGCAAGGAGCTTATATTTGGAAAGTGTTGAAGAAATTTGGGGCTGATGAATCGAGCAAGGCGATGAGCCTAACCATTGCATCTCACTTTCAGTTGAGTTCAGATCAGTGTCCTAAAGATGACCAGAAAAGGAAAGATATGTGATCGGTTCTTTATGCTAGTGTTGTGAGCAGTTTGATGTATGTCTTGATTTGCACTAGACAATACATTGCACAAACAGTTGGTGTTACGAGCAGGTTCATGCATGATCCAAGAAGGAGTCATTGATAGATTGTTAAAATTATTTTGAGATATCTAAAGGGCACAATTGATGTTGTCTTGGTATTTGAGAGACAATCATCCAGTGTAGATTTGTGTGTAAGCTACACCGACTCAGACTTTGCAGGTGATATGAATAGACGAAGATCGACGACAGGCTATTTATTCAAATTGACAGGAGGTCCAATCAGTTGGAGGTCAATTCTTCAATCTATTATTGCTTTGTTTACAATGGAGGCCGAGTACATGCCAATTACGGAGGTGATGAAAGAAGTAATATTGATGCAAGTCCTATTTGATGACTTGAGAGTTAATCAAGAGTCTCTGACAGTGTTCTGTTACAGTCAAAGCTTGATATTCTTAGCTATAAATCCAGTTCATCATGCTCATATTAAGCACATTGATGTGAGGTACCACTTTGTTCGGGACTTGATTGAAGAAGACAATGTTATGTTGAAGAAGATGAAAACGAATGAGAATCAAATGAACATGCTAATGAAGATATTATCAGTCCAGAAGTTCACCTATTAGAGGAGTTTAGTGGACATCTAAGCTTAGGACTGATTGCCCAATCGGGCATTTTGAAGAATTACGCGAGTTTTGATCTCTTCGGGAGGAAAGTACCTAGTCAACCATCTTGGTGCAGCTGATTTGGAGTTGGAGCTCATTTTGTCATCTCTCACTTATCTGGAAGTAAGAGAAGATATAGAGATTGTTGTATTTAATGTCATTTATTTTAATTAATTTGTTTCGTTTATAAAAATGGACTTAGAGCTTATGAGAGACAAAGAGGTGTATAGTGTGAAGATGAGTTAAGTTGTAACCCCAAGCTATTTTTTTTCTCCCCATCCGGTGTTAGTGGAATCTCCCTCCCCATGGACGTAGGTGAATCCATTCAACATTGAACCACGTAAATCTTGTGTTTTATTGTTGTTGTGAGAAATTTCTACGCTTCTATATTGTTTTCGCATAACAAAGAATGATTACACAAGAAAGAAACCGATACACTGAACTGTCAATGAAATATTGCATGGCTTAAATCTTTCCTCATTATGAAAAAGCCGGTATCTTTTCTATCAAAAAGAAGGAAACATTACAGCTTATATGTTCATGATATTATAAAAATCATATATACCTGCCGGAATGATTCCAAGAGGTACTTTGATTGCGGTATCCCAATCTTCTCTTTTAAGTAGTCCATTGAACACCTAATTAGTAAGTAAGGAGAGGGTGAATAATCAGGAAGAGATGAGGACAAATAGTAAAAAAAACATCATTCATCAAGATTGCCAGTTAGACTAGTCCAATGGAGCCTTACAAGATCACAGTATCAATAGTAAAAGAGCAACCATTCACTTGAAGGTGGCACAGGCTCATGGTGCTTTATTTAATTGACAAAAATAACTGTAGGCCATAGTTACACAACCATGACCACTTGAGCACTATAGGCCAGGCCACACCATAATAGAACAGTTCATACAGCATATAGAAAATGAATTTAAAAAAGAGCAAGTTCATTTTAAAGGTAGCCTTCACTAACAACTTGGACAAATTAATGCTTCTATAAGCAATCAAAAAAATTATTTGATCAGTCAATTTACCCCCATTCAAAAATAAATGTTAAATTAATGAAATTGTATACATGAAAGCACAATATAGTTGATTTTGGCCGATGTCCGCGGCTCATATTTTACCATTAAAAATCCTCCCAAATAAAAGTGCATATGTGGCATTCTCCGCATTTGGATTTGTCCGATAAAAAAGAGGCCAAGAAGATTTATTTACTAACCTCTACAAGAACACCATCTCCACTGACACATACAATTCCATCATATTTTAGGAGATCCAATTTATAGGCAATTTCTTTCGCATGAAGCTGATATTCTGTTTCTGTTGGAAGATTCAATGAAAAACTAACGATAAGTCCTATTGTCAAAAGTATAGTTAGGCTAAGCATACATGCGACACAGCCAACTAAAAACCAACGTGTTCATTCAGAAAACCATTCACACACCTTGCAGAGTGTACATGACATTAGCTGCAGCCAGTAAGGGCCTGATCTGTGTATGAAATATCTTTCGGGCACATTTCTTTCCACCATACGGGTTCACAATAATGAGCAATCTCTTCGGTCGGCCTGTAATTGCTCAAAACAAGTTTCCAGTACAGTTTCAGACGACAATATAACAAAAACTTTTTTAAAAAGGGGAAATTTTTTAATCAAAATACCTCAAAAAACTTTATCGGGATAAATCTTAAAATCCTTTAAGTGCGAGTTCAATGTAAAATTGATTGTTGCAGCTGAAAAGTCAAAGAAATAAAAAAGAAAAAAGCCCGGTCCAGCAATTCCGCCTCCTGGCCCTCCTCCGGAGCAATATGGCAAAGTTGAAGCATTTTGAGAATTTAGAGGATATAGTTGTGGTTATTAAATACAGAATTCGACGTGCAACAGCTATGAGTTGGTTTAATAAATAAAAATTAATCTTAGTTAATACATATTGCATCATTTGAAAAATTATTTTATTTTAAATATAAATAAAAAAAAAACTTTTTTTTTTTCCCAGGGAGCAACCTATTAGAAAGTTACGTTTTTTCTGCCATACAACCGATTTTAAAATTACCAATTCGAGCTTTTTCTTTTCAACAAGTTTGGGGCAGCCATGATCTCCGAACTCTTCTCAGATAACAAAACCAGCAAAGCTAAACATCGATTTAACGAGCAAAAAAAGAGAGGAAATAATGTGTAACCTAACACGACTGTGCTTAACATAGACAACCCAAATTAAAATAATAATAATAATCCGTGAAGAGAGGGAGAGGGAGAGGGAGAGGGAGAGGGAGAGGGAGAGAGGAGTTTCCCACCAAGGATGTTCAGCCCACACGTAAATATAGATAGCTAAAAACAATAAAGAAAGGTAAACCATCTCACCCAGCGAATTCAAGCAATCCATTAGCCGATCGGTCCACAGCTCCGCAGCCTCCTCCGTCGGCATCTCCAGAACGAAATCTTTCCTCGAGCTCTTCCTAAATCCACCGCTTCTGCCGCAGGAAAAGCCACCCTTTCCCTCGTTAACAAATGCCCTAATGCTAATATTCCTCCCTTCTGTTAATAATCCAAGAACTTCCGATTCGACGGTCAGGCTTCGCTCTTCGCCACCGCTGTCCAAGTCTCGTCGCCAACGAAGCTCACCTGCGGTGCTCAGGCTAGCCTCTGACAGGAACCCATTAACGCGGATTCTCTCCTTCATCTCTTCCACCATTGCAACAACTCTGCGGATAAGAGATGGGAGCGGGGGCGGGGGCGGAGGCAGAGGAAATCAGGCAATCGCGATTCTCTTTAAATAAAAGGAGGGAGTTTTCTGGTTGTTTGGGATATGCATGGACTATGGAGGAGTAAAAATGGAAATTAATAAGTTCAATTTTGAAAATATAGGACGTGATAGAGAATGTAACTTATGAGAGATAGTTAGTTGCTTCTTACGAATTCAAGTTACATCTTTTACGATTCATTTTTCATTATTTTTAAAATAATAATAGTAAAACTAAATTGATTTTACACGTGTGACCTCACGCTGCACGAAATTCCAACATCAACAAACTAGATTTGCGAGGATCTAAAGAAGAAGAAAGGAGGAAGCTAAGAATAAAAAAATTCAATAAATAGATTATTGCAATTAAAAATAACTTATTAAAACTAAATTTAACCATGCCCCCAAAATTCTAGGCATATATTTAATTCCCTGGTTTCAATATATCTTTGAATAGTGATTTAAAGCATATGAATATATATATATATATATATATATATAGCATTTATTATCTTATTTTTATGGATTAATAAAAAGAGAGAAAATGATAAGTCTGACAACCTTATAATATGTTCTCTAAAATAAATGCTTTCATTTAACATTTGAATATATAAGAACACTCTTTTGAAACAATTTATTTAATTTCCTTTTGTTTTATCAGTGCTTCCTTAACTTGCTTATGATGGATGAGTAAATTATAATGAATCTTGTTAATATTGCCTCACAAAAGTTCAGCAAAAGTATTCTTCATATGAATGAATGCACTTCAACGGAGAATGAAAATCTAAAGTTAAATCAGCCTATGGAGAGGAGAGCAAATGTATTAGTGAGGGGTAGGGTGAGTTGGGAAAGGGAGAATTAGAACTTTAATCTCAATTGATGGCTCCTTTTTAAGATAGTTGTTGACTGTCTCATATTTAGTGTTCCCTTAGTGAGTTCAACTATGAATCTCTCAACTCAAGTAATTTTACTTTATGAAAAAAAATACATAATAAAGTGAAATACTTTAATTTATGCAAGTTTTAATTATATTTATAGATGAGACGAATGAATAACATAGACTATTTATTAAAGAAAGTAGAAGATCAATAAATTATATTTGAAGCTATGTTTGTTCAATTTACTTTAGGAAGTACATTGAATACATTAATAGACCAAGATAAACGTGACTTTGAGTAAGTTTTTAGTTATCAATCAAAAGATTCATAATAAGCAACTCTAATTGATTTGGCCTCTGACTTCTAATATTGAGCAATAGTTAATGATGGTAGCTTTTCCCTTAATAATTTTTTGAGTAAAGATTATTCATTTCTTAAGCTTAAAATGAATATAATAGGCATGACTTTAGTAAGATTATCTGGAGAACATAAGGAAGAATCAGTTACTAAAATTATTAGAGACACTGATGATGGTGGAAAGTGCAAGTTTCAAGGGTAAATTGCCTCTAATTTCTACCCTCTCATGAGTATATATAGAAAGCCAATAATACAACTCTCTCAACAACCCCTAGTAGTCATGGCTTAGTGCTACCCCACTCATTAGAGAGTACAATGTCTGAAGATTATGGAGTCGAGGTCCTTCTTAAACGTCCACTCTCATTATAGTTGGGGTGAGTATTAAGGAAGATAGCAAGAGGATTTCTCTTTTCGAGGAAGAGTTGTGTTATTTCACAGCTCTTGATGATAGTATTGTCTCTATCCACCAATTAATTTAAGATTTGGAGGGTGCATTATGGAGTCATTCAAGTAGAGTCAATTTTTTTGTTGATTCTAATTAACTTCATTCAAAGCGGCTAGTCAAGGTTGAAGCACTTTCTACTAATGTATTTTTAAATCCAATTTACAACTTTTTTACAAATTAATGGGTGGGGATGAAGTTGATCTTGTAAAAAAAAAGCTATAAATTATTTTTATACTTTATTATGAATATTTCATTGTGTTGGCAATGCCAATTTCATATGATTTGTGCACAAATGTGCCCTGTTTTTAGTTTTATCAGTCTTCTATTTGTTCATACTCATCCCTTTTTTCATTTCTGTAATATTGATAGACAATGGAAATTGTACTTATTATAATGATAGAGGATATATCTAATCAAAAGTTTAGCTAATTGTAGTTTATGAGAAATTTGTTTTGGAAACTATTTTTTATCTTTATATACTCTTCATTTGTTTGTTTTTCTAGCATCGATCTTCCATGATAATGAGCTATGCTTTTATTTAGATTATTTTTTAATAGTCCTATAACTATCTTTGTTCAGAGAGATCATAAAACATTCAATTTTTATAGACTTATTAGTAACTAGATCATGAGAAACACTTTTGTGTGTATATTTATGTTAATATCTCATATGAGTATTAAACATACAAAAATAGTATATTAAATAATCAAT